AAAAAGTACAAATGCGCGAAATGTTCCAAGCTTAAACTTAAAAGCACTCTAACTTGTCTAAGAGCGGTAGGCTACAGTCATTGTAAGCAAAAAAAAAAAAAAAAAAGATATGAGTTACTTTCACTATTCTTAAAATAAGTTATATGGTTATTATTTACAATCACTTTTTGGCTTCTATATTATACAACCAACTAGTTATCTTTGACTCTTCTACAAAGTGTTACGATTAATCAGTTTTAACAAGCAAGAAAGGATGAATGTATTTTATTTTTTGTAATACTTACAAAAATCATTGTATTTAATTGTATGATAATTATTGCAAAAATAGCTCAATGACAACGCTAGGTGTCCGGGTACAGACACTGCATACGCTATTGGTGGTGTTATTATGTCACCATGACAACATTAAAGTGACGGTAGGCTTAGCGTTAAATTTATTCACTGCTGCTTTTCTTAAACGTTTATTCGTTTATTAATAACTTTGGTATGTTTTCAAATTTAGTAAATGTGTGGTAAGCAAACTCGAATTTAGTTTTACTTTATTTGGTCTTCTTGGAACAATTTCCCTGGGAGCTGTTAGTAATGCTATGAAGCTTTGGAGTATCATAAATATTCCACAAAATGATTAAATGTATTTAAATTGATAAGCTTATTAGTTATATCATGGTTTTAAAATTTCATTTCATGTCCTGTAAGTTTATTGCGCAGTGTTTCATACTAAGTCGAATTCAATATAAATAACATTGATAAAGAGATGTTTAGAAAATATGCATAATAATGAAAAAGATGGTTATGTTTTTAAAATTGATAAAAACAACAATAGAACTGGCAGTATTCTTCCTATAGGTTATCCCTTCAATTTTAGCTTCAGTAACAACAAAAAGTACAATAAATAATAAATAATGAACCATTGTTTCGTTTTGAGTTTACTTGCTGGTTATAAGTATTATTTTATTACAAGTTACAGCTTTTACAGCAAGGAAGAATAATTCTAAAACAGGCACGAGATTTCGATTACTGGTGCGATCATTCTCAAGTACACAAGTTTTAACGGTAAAGGTTTGAGTGATCAAAACGTCGTACCTGTATTTAAAATGTTCTTCCTTTCTGCTAAAGCTATAACTTGTAATTTTGTTTGCTTGTAATTAAGCACAAAGCTACACAATGGGCTATTTGTGTTATACCACCACAGGTATGGAAACCCGGTTTCTAGCATTGTAAGTCTGCAGACATACCGCTGTGCCACTGGGGGACTGTAACTTCTAATAAAATAATAATGAACGTTACTGGGAAGGCATTACTACTAATGTTACAAGGTAAATACCATATAACAAACTATCTTGTAAAATCTCGGATTTATATCAATACAGTCTTTGTTAATATACATATCTCAACAAAATTAAAACAACTGATTTATGTAGCTGTCACGAAAAAAAAATTCAGTTACAGTAGAAATTGCTTAATTAAATTAGAAGATACTGACTAAGATATCGTTGAAACAATATTTTGTAAAGAAAAATTAAACATGGGTATACCTCAGTATTTCATCTGTTTGCAGTTCAAAGTTAATATTAACAAAATGCAAACACAGTATACAACTATAATTACTATCAAAATGTTGTTTTTTAAAAAGGACGTATTTTTCTTTGCATAGTTTGTTTTTAGATGTTATTAGCTTATAGCTACTAAATTATTAACCCTTACGATTCCTTTAATAAATACTAGTGTCAGTAATGGACACTACCGATATCTTATTCGTAATGATAAAATACAACTTTCAGATGACATAAGTGATTCTTTACTATCGATTCAGTAAGTAAAGAACTTTTATGCATTTTCTTCCAGTTGATTTTGTATTACACTCCAAAGAAAACATATTTAGGTTGTATATAAAAGTTTTATTGTTTTTAACTGGCAAACGTGAAAATATTATGTTCTTGAGTTATCTGTGCCATCAGAACGTGCAAGCCAGTGTAGCTTTTAACAAAAAGAAACAAAAACTATAACATAATAGCAGGTTTACACAGAAAAACAAAATTAGGTCATTGACGAATTTATTTAAAATTGGCATCGATTTTTTTCTTTTATAGACATTCACTGAAGTGTTAATAAGCTTACTGTAAAACTAATTAAATATAACACAGACCTGCGAATTTAAACTTCAGAGAAGTTGTTTTGGTTTTAATAACGGATTTTCCATAATTCAGCTACGAAGATTTCGAAAATAATATTATTTTTTTTAATCACGTAAGGATTTTTTTACAATCGGGAAGAAAAAAAAAACTCTTAGTTGGATCAAATTATTATTTCGTTTACTACAATGAAACTTTTTTATTATTATATTTGTTAACAAAAATACAAACAAACTGAAAAAGAGGGAAGAACATTGATGTCAAACGAATATACATCCTCATTCATCTTGATTTTTGTTTGGGAAATCTGTTTTTTATTTTCAAAACTACGTGTTGTGGTCTTTCAGCAGATTGAAGGTTCGGATAAGAAATTTCCTTTTTATTTAGAGTGTTGTAACCTTGCATGTGACATGAGTAAAAATAGCAGTCATCTCGGTGGTTTCCAGGCTCACGCCAGACCACTGAAATTCCAAAAGACAAAGACTTTTTCTTACCTTTAGTCCATTGTCTCAACTCTTCGACACAAACGGTGCAAACTTGATTTGTCTCGGTCCCCAACTGTTATTCCAAAATACGCGTAAAACGCTTTTTTGATGAATTCTGTAATGTTTTGCCTTTGTTTCTTTACAAGAAATTTACCACAAATGTAACACACTATGTTTGGGTCATTTAAACAACCTCTTGTAGTCATAGCGACGAATAAACAATATTTTAAAAACAATGTCAAAATGCACGCACAAACAAATACTATTCAGAAATGACATTCGTGCGTCCTGTTAACTGTTTACATACTAGTGGTGTGTTTCTCGTCGTTTCTAGAACGATCGATAAGACTCTTACGTCGCGATTGGTCTAGAGAAATCTATAGCCAGTGGTTATCAACATTTTAAGCATAACAAAATGTGACCTGGAAATGATTCAAAGAACAAATGCCGTTTTGTGAAAAATATGTACATGATTGAGAAAAACGGATATCATTTTTGGGTTCAGCGTACAGGAATTACTGTAGAACATGTAAAAATGCTTATGAAATGTTAATTAATGAATCTAAATAACGTTGAAAGTTGAAAATAAATAATCATAATGTTTGTTAAAATTGAATTTGAACTAAAACTTTTAAATTATTCTACTCTGATACCCTTTTAATAATTGTGATATTCTATAGTGATTACGTTTGAACTAATCCTTTTGATAAAGCTTATTTCTACTTTGGATAAGGCTTTTGTTTTGAAAAACCATGAAATATTTCGAATTAAAGTATTGATATTGTGCATAAAATTAATACAACTTAAAAACACAAACAATTTATTTTATTAAATTTTCAAACCTGCGATACATTAATATTCACAAGTACACACGGAAAGCTATAATCAATTGTACAAATACACATATGCATCGGCATTTACTGTTCAATAAATGGAATAGTTTAAAATAGCTAAATTTACCAGTTTTCCATTTAGAATATTTTCATGTTCAAATTAATTCAGTTCTGCACCAAGTTAAGCTTTAATTTGTTTTATTTTTTGTTTATATCTTTTCATTATATATTTTGTATTCAGACGTTTTTGGACCCAGCAATAAATATTCGTACACGTGCTGCACAATAGGCTTTCAGCTGACGCCACTTTGGCATCACAGACAAGACTACCATTTTAATACTAGTAATAAACGATCTTATAATACGAAATTTGATATTCTTCTTTAGTTGGTCACTCATGGTTTCACTTAGAGCTTCTTCAGAAGCGTTTTACTAAAACATAAGCCGTAACTGACAGCACAAAGCTTCAAATGGTTTAAATAATAATTAAATAATTTAAATGATTGATTTTTTAAACAATCTAAATCGTTGTACTGTCAGCTACGGTTTGTGTTTTAGTAGAACACTCATGATGAAGCTGAAAAGCGAAACGTTGAGTTTATGTAATTAAAGAAAAATAACAAATTTGGTGTTATAAGATCGTTTATTTCTAGCATTAGAATGTCTTTTATACACCAATATGCACTACAGAAATTAAATAAAAACTACTGTTTTACTAGTTTGGATCATTTTGATTTAAAAAAAGGATTTTGAATATTTCATCACTTAATAAGTTTCCTGTATTTATATTTAAATATATATATATATATTCTAGTCAAGTAAGTTACGTGGTTATGAAAGATAAGTATTTCCAGAATATATTCTGAATAATTAATATATGATTTAAACTGCAAGTTGAATTAGCATGAATAATTTTCATTGGACAATAATCCTTGGCTTGAGGACTGTCATATGCTTAAAGTATTCCGTCAAATAGAATTAACATTATGAAAACCTTTCCAAGTCTGTCGCCATTAACAAAGACAAGGATTCATAGCGAATTCTGCCAATTCATAATTAAGATTTCAAGCCAAAGAGAAGATCAAGCTTCAACAAGTAAAATGTATTACGTAATGGAGGAAAGTCCAGTAGTACAAACCAAGCTATTCTCTCTGTCATTGTGATGTAAAATAGTTTTCGTTTTATTTTAGGAAAATTGACAGGAAAAATATGCTTATTATCACTATATGACATCATAAGGGCCATCATATATTTCGAACTGTCAAAGCCCTGGTCTGATTCCAAAACGTTCAAAGGAAATAAAGGGCGGGAATAACATATCTATCTATATATAACAAAAAAGAAAATGGGTGTATAAAAATGATACAGTTTACAGAATAAATGATCAGACTACGACCTTTTGGTTGCAGTATAGGATATTAATGAAAAAAACACACACACACACGCAGTATCTGATAAAGGATAAGAAATGACACAATGCAGCTACATGAAATATAAAGTGCCCTCTTATGATGCATAAAGAAGTTGAAACTAAGGCCAGAAAAAGAAATTCACATTCGATAACAATTTCGACGCTTGCCTTTACAACCTGCACACTCGCAGTCCTTCGGCCTATTAGTCTTCATCACCCCTTTTCGTTTCCTATTCCTACAAACCATGAAGGTTGCTTGTATAGCTACCAGGATAACCAGTGCTGCAATACCAGCAATTATTATATAAATGGTTATATCGTCTAGACGCCGACTAGGTTTTGATGCTAAGAAAAAAAGAAAAAAAAAAGTTTGAAAATTACAATAAATAAATTATTTTTTGTTTGTTTTTTCATAAAACAATGCCCCCAAGCATGAGTACAAAACAAAATTATTATAACCAAGCCTTGCATGGCCTGCTGGTTAGGGCGCTGAACTCGCAATCTGTAGGTCGTTGGTTCGAATCCTCGTCACTGAACATGCTCGCTTTTTCAGCCGTGAGGACATTATAATGTGACGGTCAATCACACTATTCGTTGGAGAAAAAAAGCAGCCCAAGAGTTGTTGGTGGGTGATATTTACTAGCTGCCTTCCCTCCAGTCTATCACTGCTAAATTAGGGACGGCTAACGCAGAAAGTCCTCTTGTAGTTTTGCGCAAAATTTAACAAAAACCAACTTATTACAAACAACAAATGTTATTTCAAAGTATCAATATAACCTCATCATAAAATAATACTTGCGATAATAATATTAAAATTTATTTTATTGGCAATTGTGTTTTAATAAGGAAAGTACACTAACAAAAAAAAATGTTTTATTAAAATATCACAATATTTCGGGCACATGATATTTTCCAGGTGATTTGTTTTGTGAATCATATAATACGGTTTTAAGATCCAGTTTGTATTTTATTTTCTTATAATAATTAGGTAATTAGGAATTATAAAGGAATGATAACTTGTGGGGATCTGTTACAAGTGACAATATATCAGGCAATTAATTAGTTTTCTTATGAACGATAACAGTGAGTTTTAAGTTTTTCAATTTAAGCTAATAGTGATTATTCTAACAATGTATGGTGTTTTATCGTGACAACAAAGTTTACGTTGTTTAGAAAGTTATTTTTTGGGAGCTAGGCACCTGGAATTTTTTTTTTTTTTAATTTTTGTGAAAGCACTTTGATCTTTCTGGAATAGGGAATCTTTCTGCTGCTTCGTTTACTCTGTCTAGTAGCTGCTGGGGAGTTTATTTACGACTGAGTAAAAGCAGTAATTCATTTATGTATAACTTGCAGTTGTCAGTTGGGACCAAGGAGCAGCGTGGCCTAGTAGTTGGTTCTTTGGTAAAGGTTGCGGGTTCCAAGACTACTCGTGACACGTGTCCTTTTCTAACACTCATTGGACGTTATGTTGAATCTTATTAAATGTGATTCTCCCGTTTTAGGAGTTCATGTCAAAGGTCGTTCTTGATGTATTTCTTTTCCAAGATGATGAGGACGTGATAAACGTCGAAACATATAGATTCCACATTTTAGAAATGTTGTTAATTGTGTTATTTATTTATTATTGTATCTGAATGTCAGAACACAACTACACTAATTAGTTACCGACTTTTAAATTCTTACAATGACTCTTGGCTTTCAATCAAACTTAACCTATTTTACCTCTCATCCTCACTAATATATTGTAACATTAATGATTTCTCTTCAGATGATACATAATTTGTTTTATCAGGATTTTATCTTTCCTTAGCGAAAACAAAAACTGGCTTGAGTTGGAGTTATCTCTTTAAAAAATACAAAATTTAAGTTTATCAGCCAAATTTTTAAGACATAATTACGAGAGATAAACAACAATTATATATTTTACTAAACAAGACAAAACGTACAGAGAACTATACAAAATATAAACACAACAACAACATGTTCTTTTTAGTTATCTAGTCTATTCTACAATCTCTTGAATAGTCTTGTAAACAACTCGGATTGAGTATATGGAATACTTAGATGGGCAGATATACAAAGACTGAACAAACAAACCACGAAAGTTATTTAGGTAATTATTACAAATGTAAATGTAGAACTAGCCTGAAACTTTGATTGTTTTTGTTTTTTTTTGCTCAAAATTTATAATGCTGATTACTATGAGACTGATGTGTGTGTGAGGGTAGTTAGGGGAGGGGGCGGTCGACAGATGTAGATTGTTGAACCGAGAAGCAAACTGAAGTGTTAGCAGTTCTGTCTGAATCAACAAGCGCAGTCTTAGACTAATGTTTGTATTAATAAACGTCATTAATACAACAGTGCACTGTATTAGATAAGTATCGTTACATGTACTATGATAATGATGACTAACCAATGCAAAAAGGCTTTAGGACTGCAGTGTAACAAACGAAACAGTGACGATAATTTGTTAATAAAGTTAAAATTAAAGAACAGGGTGACAGATAATTGCATTGGAAACGGGTTTTGTTTGTTTGTTTCTTTTGTCGAATTTCGCGCAAAGGTACTCGTGATAGACTACACGTAAGGCGGCTTATCAACACCACCCATCGCTAACTTTTGAGCAACTCTTTTACCAACGGATACTGGGATTGACTACTACATTATAACGCCCCACGGTCTAAATGGTGAGCATGTTCGGAGATGGGATCCGAACCCGCGACCCGTACATTGCGATTCGAGTGTCCAAACCACCAGGACCATTGGAAACGGAAAGAAGAAGTTTCGCTCCTGATATGACACTGGACTTTCGAAACGTCGTCTTCTGTCACATCACGGTGAAACCTGTTAAACTATCATAAATGTGAAGCCTGTAAAAATATCCTAAATAAGAAGTCTGTAGAAATATCCTATATACGAAGCCTGTTAAACTATCCTAAGTAGGAAGTCTGTTAAACTATCCTAACTGGGAAGCCTGTTAAAATATCCTAAATAAGAAGCTTGTTAAACTATCCTAAATGGAAAGCCTGTTAAACTATCCTAAATGGAAAGCATGTTAAACTATCCTAAATGGAAAGCATGTTAAACTATCCTAAATGGGTTCTTCATAAATTAATGATTTGTCATTCTAGACTCGGTATGTTTGAAAGATTTCGTTTTAAGTTTGGATATAAAACATAATTGGACTGAACAATATTGACTTTATAATGACAGCGCTTAACTGTACCTACCTTCTACTCCATCTGGTCCAACTTCTACAACTGAAAGTAAAAAAATAAACAAAAAAACCTGTTAAACATATTGTTATGCTTTACTTAGTTATAATCTAAAATAAACACCACATGAGACAAATACACCAAAATCGCACACTGGTACCACATGAGACAAATACATCGAAATCACACATTGATACCACATGAGACAAATACATCAATATCACACATTGATACCACATGAGACAAATACATCAATATCACACATTAATATCATATGAGACAAATACACCAAAATCACACATTGATATCATATGAGACAAATACATCAATATCACACATTAATATCATATGAGACAAATACACCAAAATCACACATTGATATCATATGAGACAAATACACCGAAATCATACACTAATATTACATGAGACAAATACACCGAAATCGCATACTGACTACTGAATTACGAACATTATTAGAGCGGTTTACAAAGCGGTAAAAATGCATTATGTGAATGTTTTACCAAACTGTAAAAATAATCATCTAAATGTTGCACAAAACTATGAAAACATTATCTGACTACTGTATAAAACTACAAGAAATATTTATTCATTGGCATCAAATATACTAGCTGAACGGGGTCACATCTATTAAACTCAGGGGGATCATGGGGGGGGTGTCAGAGGTTGCGAACTAGCCCTCTTTTGGACCACTAATAAACATTAATTTCACGACCAGCCATATCCTTTTTCTGGTTAACAGCGACACTTATATTCTTAACACAACCATAACGTATCTAAACGTACTGTACGGCCAGCGGTTCTGTTTCTCAATACAGCGTGAACGGGCTAGCATCACCCGTCTTACACCTTATTGACCAGGCAAACTTACGTTTTCAGAAGGCTGTGACTGTTTGTTTACACCTACGTACTCTCCTGGTCAGTACGATATGATATGGTACTTAAACTGAAGGATTCAAATAACAGTGTGTCTACGGTATATAATAAGTTGTTGTTGTTTGTTATTAAGCATAAAGCTACACAAAGGACTATCTGTACTCTACTCATCACGGGTATCGAAACCCGATTTCGAGAGACACAAGTCTGCAGACATACCACTGTGCCACTGGGGGGGGGCGGTAAAATAAGTATCAAAATGGATATGTATGCGTATAATTATGACGTACACATAAACTTTAATTAATTAATGAGTAGATCATATCTAATTTATCTGTAAATCTTGGATGAATATCTATTTCTGCATGATTTATTAATTATCGAGTTATCGTCACACAACTCGTAATACAAATCTTGGCCACACTTATGGATCTATTGATGTTAGTGTTATTATGAAGTGATGAAAACAATTTCACATTTTATTTGATTTTTTAATTCGACAAATCAACAAAAAATGGTTTTGATTTGGACGTACTACGAGTTTTAAAGTTGTCACCTTTAGACAGTTTTTACAATTTTATGTTATTCCCCCAGGGTAATAACGACACCGTGAGGTTATGGCTACAGGTAAAAATATTAAAACGGAACCAAACAGTAAATGTTATTATAACAACAACAATACATTATCTTCTCAAGGTTTCCTGCCCCACGGTGGCTCAGCGGTAAGTTTTAGGACTTCGCTTAAAATATAGTTTCGATACCCACGTTGGGCAGAGTACAAGGTAGCCTATAGTATAGCTTTATTCCAACAATATACAACTAACATCTCCTCAAGATTCAATGCTCCATTATGATTCAGTGGTACATCTTGAGGTTATAACGCTTAAAATAGGGCTTCGATACCCTTGTTGGGCAGCGCACAGATAGCCCAACGGTTAGCTTTGTGCTCGATAACAAAAACAAAACAAATACCAAGGTTCCTTCCCTACCGGAGGAAGGTTGAATAACGAGATAAGCAGGGTCAACCTCCAGATCACCAACAAATCCTTTGCTGACGGTGTTGTTGAGCTTGGTGGTTAAAGCTGACATGTGGTGGGCAACGAGATCCTCATCAGAAGGTGTAACTCCTTCAGCTGGGGTCTCCTCTAGCATGACGATCATCATCTTTACCAAAACTGTGTCGTTTTCTGCTTCGACGCTGTTAACAGCATTATTACACTATATTATCCACATAAAATGTTTAAGAAAGTCACAAAATTTCACGGGAAAACTAATCACAACCTATGTTGTTTTTACATTCCTCGTAAAAAAACAAAAACACACACATAAACAAACAAAAATACAACAACAAACAAGTTACATGACAGAGTCCTTATTACGTATGATTCTTTTATGATATGTATGATATATGTTCAAACTTGTTTTGAATTACACAGGCCTGCAAAGTTAAACTTTATAGAAGTTGTCTTGGTTTTAATAACGAATTTTCCATAATTCAGTTACGCAATTTCGAAAATGATATTTTTTTTTCTATCGTGTAAGGATTTTTTACAAATCGAGAAGAAAAAACTCTTACTTAGATCAAATTTACAACAAATATAACATACTATGTTTGGGTCATTTACACAACCTCTTATTGCGATAGCGATGAATAAATAATAATGAAAAGAAAAAAATAATGTCAAAGTGCACGCACAAACAAATACTATCCAGAAATGGCACGTCATGCGACCGTTAACCGTTTATATACTAGCGGTGTGTTTCTGGTGGGCTCTAGAACGATCGATAAGACTATCACGTCGCGATTGGTCTAGAGAAATCTATAGACAGTGGTTGTCAACATCTTAAGCATAACAAAATGTGACCCGATTTCAATGAAATTATTCCCTTATGTAAAAGTACATATGATGTTTTGTGGAAAATCTGTACGTGATGGAGAAAAATGGATATCATTTTCAAATTTAGCGTACCATGGGATATAAAATTTCAAGACAATAAAAGCATCACAGGCTTGTGTTATCGAAATGTTTTTCTTTAAAAACAAAAACAAAGAGTGAACTAAGCAATAATTAATTGAATTCATAAAGAACAGTACAAGGAAAATTTAAAATATAGTAGTATTCACAATTATAGATATGGGACTCACTTTTTTAGATCAACAGCTTTAACCTCCTTAAATCCGTCTATACTCGTCAGTTCCGAGGACACCTGTACGGACAAAGGTACGGATTTGTGGTTTGTGTCTATTAGTTCAAGTATTCAAATAGGCTTAATGTGCCAAATATTTCATGCAACTATAAGACCTACAAAAATAAAAGAATTAGAATAACACAATCGCGAAAAAAACGTTCAGTTTTTATTTATTCTTCATGGTCATGTTTTCAGCATCAGAGGTCGCTGTTTTAAGTATTCAAAGCAAACACTTTTCATTAAATCCCAACATCAGGCCAGCTTGGATTACAAATTGTAGAATCAGAGGTTACACACATCTCCTACATAGGACGTTTTCTTAGCTTAGATCAATATTCTAACTTACTACAAGTAGCTCCATCTATAAATAATAATGACCACACACTAAAGAGGGTTGAGTTCGTTATACTAAAACGATTTTGAATGTGCAAATCAGCAAGTCAAGTGACAACCACAGCCCATATAAAGTTGCATGGTACAGTATATATCAAAACTATATTATGACATCATTTAGCATTTCGTAGGTAATGTGATGCCACTAACATTTAATCGCTCTTGGGGAGAGTATGTAACAACCCTTTCCGCCACAAAGTATTAATACCCTTAGATCATACAAATGTGATCATATTGAGGATTTAAAATTTATCAGTGTTTGATGACACTGGGAAACAAAGGAATATGGATCAACCTGAGGTAATCAGAATAATCCAGAAAAAAGACCTGCAACAAACAGTACCTCAGATGTTGTAAGGAAAGTGTGAAATCTTGTTACAAAGGTCAGTGGCAAAAAGCGTCCACGTGTCCAAGGTATCAGTATCCACTACAATCAAGAAGGATTTCCACCTAGAAACAAGGCCAACAGGATAATATGTCACCAAGATTAGCCTTCCAGTCATACCTCTCATTCAAACATCACATACTTCAAGCAGCTTGAGAACTAAACGGGTATTCATGCTATTCCATAAGAATACATACCAGTTAAGTCACCAGATGTAGCGCCTATAAATTTCTGTGCGATCAGAATGTTGAAACGGGCGATGGAAAACCGTCGTATTCAAATACTATATAGAATTCAATCATGCAGGAGTGTTGTGCTTTGGACATTACAACCTTACGATGGATTAGTTTACAATGGGGACAACGCTGCAAGGCTGTTATCAAGATGCACTATCGTCAGATGGAGTATTATCGAACGTGGCGACATGAGCTATAACGGCTTGATGAGGCTCCAAAATCGTTTTAATGTAACGTGCTCAACCTCGGTATAAAACAGTGTACATTTTCCGTGTAACTACATTAAAGGTTATTAAAATATGACATTGTATTTGGTCATAAAAAGAATAGTTCAAAGGTTAGTGCAATGTTATATAATTAAACTGCCAATTCAAAGCAATAAAAATATATGAGCCTTAATAAAAACCGTGAATTACAGGATTTGTCACAAATCAAAAGAGGGAAACAAAGATTTGTCTTTAAAATAAATGGTGAAACAAACTCAAGGTTATGCTTAATGTAAATAATATTGTATTTCTATAAAACTTAATTATCTTGTACTCGTTCCTATTATCGATGTGTAAGATGGTGAAATCAAAAGGTTTTTATTTCTTATAGTTTTTTTTTCAGCAGTTTGAATTTTAGGATTACAAGCACTCAAGCTTACCGCTCATCATCGAATAAGGGGAGCGAGGATATAACTAGATCATTACCTAAAATAAACTATTCACGAGTAATTTTTTCAGTGATGCTGTTGCTTTTTGATTTAGTGCAGGTATTGAGCATCAAAGTTTAGCGACATAATACGCTGATCCAGTGAGATAAGGGGAGTAATCCCGCACTACTTATATTAACGTGCTCAAATCAGCCTTTAATAGATCTATAGTGGTTAAGGTATAGCTAAATATATATAAAGAATTTGATGAATGTTAGTGAACTGTTTGTGAATAAATATGGATTTTTATATATATCTTTAATAAACATATATGGCTCAGCGGCAAGTCTGAAGGCTTATAACTTTAAAAACCGGATTTAGATACCTGTAGTGAACACAGCACATATAGCCCATACTGTAGCTTTGTGCTTAACAAAGAAACAAACAAATCTATAAGGTTGGGTTAAATATCTTTACCTAACGTGACAAGTGCATATAAACATTTGTTGATCGTTTTTTTTTTTGTTGTTGTTGTTTTTTCAGTTTCTGAGCCCAGGCTTATGTGGTAAAGAATCGGACTTGTTCTTGAAATAAAACAACCAGAAATGTAATGGGTTTTCCAGTGAAAGTTTTCAAATCTGGCTTTTATTATATTGTATTGTATTTGAGATGTTTCTGGGCATGGTCTCAAGTGCCCAACGAAGGCTGCTCGACTGTCGGAACAATGCATTCTAATCATCATAAGTAAGAACATAAGAACAATGTATTAAATTATCTATATTCATTATATGTTAATTTTAGACTTGATCTATGCAAGAAGGTTGTTTTGATCAAAAGTTAAAACCAATTAACCACTCACCTCAGCTAGTCTTGAATCACGTAATTAAACATGAAGTAACTCCCGTTTAATCTATTATCCTTGATATTTTACAAAACTAAAAACAATATGAACATACAATAACAATGGAGAATTGAAAGAAACAAACACGTAATAAGTTCAACAATATTTGGTTATGATAATTCATAAGCTCCGTTAGAATTGAATAAATACAACTAACATATTGTTTATGTAAAAGTTATACCAATTCATGAGTTTGTTGATGCTGTTCTACTTAAATGGTTTCATATAAGTGATTATTCAACACACAAAAAAAGAAAAACTTGAGGAAATGACGTAACAGGAAGTGACAAAAGAAAAAACTTGAGGAAATGACGTGACAGGAAGTGACATAACATATCTACACACAGAACTAAGCAACTCGAAGGAAACTAACATTGTTTAAAAGATACCCCTGAAGTTTACGATATTCTTCCGAGTCCTCCTCTTCTAACTCGATTTTCCAAGCTCGTGGCAGTTTCAGTTCCACATTGTACTCAGCCTTACGATGGACAATAGCGGTGGGCGTAGTTTCATAAATCCTGGTGGTACTTGTACTAGGAGTTGTGGATGGACCAGAGGAACCTACTGGTGGATACATAATTTGAGAATTAGGATTAAGATATAAACGTTCATGAATAGTGATGGTTCTAAAATTAACTTTTCCAACTGCTTACGTATTTCTATATTTGATCACCGTACTAGCAAGTACAAATTTTGTAAGGTTACCTTATCAACTCTCTCCTACAAGCCCCCAGTGGCACAACGGTATGTCTGCGGACTTACAACGCTAGAAACCGGGTATCGATACCCGTGGTGGGCAGAGCAGTGTGTAGCTTTGTGCATAACTTCAAACAAAGAAACAAACTCTCCTACAAGAATGTTTAATCTTCATGGGGTTAAATCATCAGCACTACCGAAACTAGGCTTAATTCAACAGCACAGTATAAGCAAGTACAAACTAGGCCTAACTCATCATCACCATCAAACTAGCAAATATAAACTAGGCTTAACTCAACGGCACAGTATAAGCAAGTACAAACTACGCCTAACTCATCGGCACTGCCGTACTGGCGAGTATAAATCAGACTATTCTAGTATGGCTGAGGTAGTCTAAAAAGTACAAAACTGAAAAACAAATACCCACAGCACGATTCGTATCTGTTTCATTGTTCATTTTCAACTGTGTGTACAGAGTACCTTACCTTAAAAATAAATGTTCGTAAATAATTATTTTCAAAGGAAATCCAAGTATTTTATCAGTGGAACATCACCTCAGTTCCATTAGATACACAAGACTATTTAAGTTAATGCGAGTATTATGATTTAGATGGTTTAAGTATAGCGCAAGTGATAAATTTATATATATTTTTAGAAGTGATAGTTTATCGCAGGTTTGTTTACTTACCTGTGTACGAATCATAAGTTGTGTAGTTAAACTGTTGTAGTTTTACGTCATGTTACTCGAATCTTCTGATTTTTTTTTCTCGTTGCTTTAATTGAGCTTTGTTGTATCATAATGTCTAGTAGTGTGTGTGGAATGTTCGAGGCTGCTGTCGTTAAGTTAGTTAGTTAGACAGATAGATAGTTCTAGGCGTGTTTGTGAGTTTAGCCATAAAGAGCATATAGTGGTGATTTTTAAAGTGAATTATCATAGATTGTATTGTAATAACAGAGTAGAGGAGAATAATTAGTCTTGTCAATTGTGTTTTAAAGTAAGCGAAAAAACCTGCGTGGACTTTTGAGGAAAATAGACTCTTTAAAGCTTTGGATACAACTGTGATAACCAACAGTATACCGAACATTTGTATATATACGTTTGACTGGTTTTAATATATTATTTTAAAACAAGTGGACTGTGTGCCGTGTGTTTATTTTTGAAATTTACCACCAAGTCACAGACACCTACTGTAAAGAATTCTGCCCATAAAAACATAAAGACCTGACAAGTACTATTGCACCTTTTGTTTTCTCGAAACCAGGTTCATTGGTGGGTTCAGATTCTGATTTTACATCTGGTTCACTGGATGGTTCAGGTTCAGATTTTGCATTAGGTTCACTGGTTGGTTCAGGTTCTGACTTGGCATCTGGCTTGCTGCTTGGTTCAGGTTCTGATATTGTGTCTGGTTCACTGCTAGACCCTGAATCAGTTATATATATCTTTTATCATAACATTACTCAGAAGCAAACAGAATAAGCTAGAAAAACTACTTTTCATGTTACTCCAACGAATTCACTGATATAACACGTATATCTGTGTATATATAACAATTGTGGAGAGGAGTTTTAAAGTTCTACATCAGAATATATATATATTACACTATACAATGACACTTTGCTAAACGTTTGGCAAAGAACAGCCAGAATTCAAATCAATATAATAGAATTACAAAAACAGAAAAGAAAAACATTCTGAAAATGTATATATCTTTAAACATGTTGTGTCCTTTATTTGTCAGGTAAAACAAAACATTAGTTTTCAGTTTTTACAAATCAGACACGGATACATTCTTGCTCAGGAACACAACCTACGAATACACTCACCTACATAAAATTTCTGACTAGATACCACAGGTATTTGTTCATGAAACTGAATTTTGCGACTATCGCCGTCATAATTTCCACCTTTTACAGGAAATAAGAAGTACAAGCCGTCCTTTGAAGTAAAATCGAGATCTTGGGAGTTGTCTCCTGTCTTTCTTTTCCTACTAAATCGCAGCGTAACCTTGCCGTCGTTTATCTCGCCAGAGAAATTTTTAACATCCTGGCTGTCGTCATACTGTGGATGTTCGTAGCCAGTTAACCATCTGGAGTGAAAAGTCGTTTCGTGTTTAAATTTTTAAGGAAATAAATTAAAAATGAGCTTGTCATTGGGAGATGTAGATCTTAGAGAAATCTATTGAACTGATAACTACTACTCAGTCATATCAGATTAACTCTGTTTATGCTTATGCTTATCATACAGTGTGTATTATTATTTTAAGTTATTAAAAATGATATACATACATATACTAAACTTCAGTTTTTGTTCACAGATACATATATCATATTTTCTACTTTTGCCCGATCGTTTTCCACTGTCTTTCAGTAAATTAATTAATCCTTGTTCATAGCTTTGTCTACTCTATTTCAAACTCATTCTTAACCCTTATACATAACTTTGGTAACTCTGAACTTTACTTATCAGTAATCCAATTTATCGCTTAATTTTACATTTTATTGTACTGATCATGAATTGATATACATGACTTTTTCTTGTTCTAAAAATTAACCTTAGTTTATAATTGTGTTCAGTCAACAATCACTTCCTCATTATTGAATCAGCGCGCATGACTGTTAAGTTGCTGTCTCATTCATAAAATCACCTGCGAAAACGTGCGCTGGCAATCAAAGTCCTTCTGTAAATAAAGAGGAAATATCTTTAGGGTTAGTCACTATCACTACAAAACTACACGAGGCTTAAGATCAGAGCACCTTATAGTAGAGTAGAATTGAAACGAAAGAAATACTTACGCATCAATGACATTCACTTGGCCGATTTCATTCACCCACCCTATCACGGCGTCACTGTTGGGCTGTTCAAAGAAAAGTTTTAACCTGAACTTTAAAATAATAATCGCACAGCAGAAATAATCTAATTGACAGTCTTACTTGTTTTTGTTTTTTTAATTACACCTTTCTGTTTTATTTAAACAGTGTTATTGGTTCATTACTGTTGCTATGTTTTACTTTTAGCGCAAAGCCACACAATGTACTATCTCACTCTGTTAATCGCGGGGAATCAATCATTGGATTTTATACTTGTAACTTACTGATGATTTTCCGGAGGACTTTACTGGTTTTTATTCATTATTCCAACTATTCATATGTATCATGTCAAAATCATTTTATTCATGCTATCTTTTTACGTTGATGTATCATACGAACACTTAATTTTCATTACGGAATACTTACAATACCTCATTGTCATGACTTTGATTATGGAGTATTTGTGATACCTCATTGGCATGGAAGCTTTCCATGCTCAAAATCAAATAAACGTGCTTGTGTAAACCACGGCGATAAATTCATAAATATCACCTGTTGGATACGCACTCACTCATTGGCTAATGTATTAGGAATCCCAACCTAATAACGTGTTGGACCACGAAAACCTTTATTACAGCCTCGATACAATGTGATACGGACTTCACTAGTGTTTTGAAGATAACTCCTTCAATTTCCGACCATTTTGTCATCAATACCGCCTCCAATCCCGGTACAGTTGTCGATAATGGGCTATGTCCCCCGATATCTCTTATATCAGGGGACTATGCAGCCCATGGTAGATGTTAGAAGTCTGTATAACGCTCAGTGAACCGATCACAAAAATTCTAACTGTCTGGCTAGTTGCTTCATCATCTTAGAAATAACCAACTATGTTTGGTAAAAGTAGAGCATTAGGGGATGTACATGGTCAGCTAGGGTCAAATATTTACTAGTAATATATGGTTATCCTGATAAATCAGGAGACCTAGACTATGCGCCCCACAACATTACACCACCTCCAAAACCTTGTACATTGGAGACAATGCAAGATGGGTTAACGATTTTTATTGCATTGTCGCCACACGCTAACCCTACTATCATTACAGAACAATTTAATGCGTAATTTATTTGACCACATTACACATTTCCAATGGACAATGATCCAATTCTGATTATCTAGATAAAGAGATACGTTTTTTTTTCTCGGTCGGTTACGAGTTCACACACACCTCCGGCAGCTTGTATTGTCAGAACAATGTAAACATGATCAAGAACCTCGTGTAACCTTTCCTTGTGTTAGGTTCACACACACACCTCCGGTAGCTTGTATTGTCAGAACAATGTTAACATGATCAAGAATCTCATGCAGTCTTTCCTTGTGTTAGGTTTAGTTTCAGAAAGAATAGCTGAAATACATCTCACCAAAAATACACCACATGCTTCTAGTCATTCATTTGTTACAGTTTGTGCTCTGAGCATTAAGGCTATTTTCACATTTGTAATTGATTCGTTGGTTTTGGTAGTTGTGTGAAGCTATATAAGGGCAATCTGCGCTGGCCGTACCTAATTTTAAGCCGACAGACTAGAGAGAAGGCAGTTGGTCAATAGCACCACTGTCAACTCTTGGGTTACTCTAACCAAATAATGTCAATCTTATAATGCATCCACAGCCAGAAAGCACAGAACACGAATTTCCGGCAACTGGACTTGATCCTCGAATTCACAGTTCTGCACGCTGAACACTAGGCCATGCTCATCCAGTTTGAAAATGATATAAACAAATTTGGTTCAGCAATGCCCTTTACACGGTATGATCATAGATATTCGAATCTGACCACTACTGAAGCCTGTTCAATAGTTGTTGTTTTTTTCTCGGTCGGTTACGAGTAGTTGGTTGTCACAGTTTTTCGTAGTAATAGAAGTGTTTTGTACAGTTGTAGGATCTGATGGTTGATGCCTGTGAACTGAAACGTCTTTAATAACAACACTTCTGCTAAACGGACACGACTATCACCCTCCTTTGAAAATCGGAATTATCCTTGCTCTTACTCATTGCCTTGCCGACTAACTTAATGTGACTACATCTCCGCACTTAAAAAGCTCAGTCTCCTGATGCATCATAAGATCAGTCTATTTCGCGTAAACAAATAAATAGATATTATTACAAGTTACAGCTTTTACAGTAAGAAAGATATATTTTTACTGTAAAAGCTGTAACTTGTAATAAAATATACGTAGTCAGTAAATAAACAAAAACGAGACTATTAAATAAATAGTTGTTCTTAACTTTGTTTAACGGAAACTGGAGTTTATTATGAAACCCATATCTCCAGAATGTAACTTTATTAGCTCAATATTTTGCAATTACAGCTTCGTCAGGAGTTATCGATATTCTTACAAGTTCACTAATCCAGTTAAGTCTAAATTGGGTCCAATTTAAGTTTAACTGGATTAGTGAACTTGTGGAAAAATAGTTTTGTTTATAATTAAGCCCAAAGCTACACAATGAGTTATTTGTGCTCTGCCCACCATAGATATCGAAACCAGGTTTCTAGCGTTGTAAGTCTGAAGACATGCCACTGCTGAGAGGCAAACTTGTAGGATATCGATAGCTCATGACATGGGTCGTGATTTTATTTACGTTTATAGATATATTAAATAACTAGATTGTTATAGAAATATATGTTGCTCATCCGAATGAAGTATAATCAGTGTACTTTAAAATGTGGAAAACATTTTGTTACGAAATTAATTGCACTTCAGCATTTTTGAATTTTATTTTTTTTAGTTTGAATTATCGATATCTTTGAGTAAAATAATTGTAAACTATTACCATTTTGGGATTCTTCGAAAAACCAACACCTGTCCACTTGTCACCATTAGAGCTGTGAATGACGAAGTGGATATCATCAGTATCAGTTTCCATGTTCCATTTAATGTGATATTGACAACTCTGCTCTATACAGTTGTGAGGATATTTCCACTCGCCACTAGGTGACGCAATGGTCGCTGCAGAGGGTTGACTTGTTCCATCTATAATTACAGAATAATATATACAATATATATATATATATTACTATACTAACAGTTCTTAACTCGAGGAAATGGATTTGAAATTTTGTAAACCAATATGTATACCTTGACAGGAACACCTTACGTCAGTTTTTTTGTATAAGGGTAGGATACATCTGTTGGTTCCCACACCTACTGGTATACGGAGTGAGCGAGCAGATGTATGTATTTTAAAATGGCGTCCCTATTCAAGGTCTTACCTGATGTACTTCAAATAGCTATTCTTTTGGTGAAGTTTGGTATAGAAAAGTGTCAGCACTTGCTCCCCGTGCTATTGTTCTATTTGGTGCACTTATAACTATGGTAAGTCTGTTTGTTATACAGCTAAGAACTTTCAACAACGTCAGTCAGTCAGTGAGATTGAGAAATTTGTGATTTTATGAATTTTTTTTTGTATCTGCTCTGTTGACTTTCTAAAGTGGTTCTATAGATTGTAATTTTGTGGTTTCTTTATCATCTAAAGGTGACTCTCAAATACGTTTAAGCATTTATTATTTGGTTGTTAAAGGTTTAAACGAGTAAATAAATTGTATTGCATGTATTGTGTATCCGTTCCATTCCTACTATAAGTACTGCTGTACTTATGATGATATTATTATTATTATTATTAGAATTTAGACAATTTTTCGAAAGTTTAGAAAGCTTTAATTACGAATAATATAGGTCTCTGGAATGATTACGAATATGCCTCAAGATGTTATTGGCTTATGCCCCTAATATAACATTGTACACATACTATTGTTTATGTAATATAATAACCTGAATGAACACTAAGCCTACACGTGTAATTGCTTACAAGTTCATTTTTAGGAACTATGACCCTTCGGAATATCGGACTATAGCTTATAAGATACAGTTATTGACAAAGCAATTAAAAACTTTACATACTTTGACAGTTAGTACAAAAGATGTTAGTGATAGTTTATACAGGGAATTCTAAAGTTACATTATTTGTAAGTACTTCACTTTTAAACGTTTATCACTTTGTAACCAAATTAAATTCTAAGCTTCAATGCAAATGTCATTCAGATTTGCAGAAAAAAGTTTTAAATTAAATAATACAACTGTTATTAATTTATCTATATTATTGTGTTTTGTTAAACTAACTTCAGTTTATCACTTTGAACACAATTCTTTGCCAAATCAATATATTTTTAATACACAGTTCAGTTGGTAGGAACGATGCTTATGTGTTACAATGTAAACTTGTCAGTCACAATACACAGGAACTACATAAGCTTATTCAAACCCTTAGGTACTTACAGAACTGGTTCCTCTTACCGAAAAAGTTCAGAGTAAGCTTTCCCCGCTGTTTTCCATGTCCGTGATATTTAATCTCATCAGGTCTGTAGAAATCTGTTATCTTGGCGTTACCGGCTTCAATTCCTGTTTTAGGCTGGTGGATGTACTTTCCAGGCTCTTGACCTTTGGCCCAGATAATGTTCATTAAACTGTTCTCAATGGTGTGGTCAGTGAGTTCTTTTGCTGGAAAAGGTGAAATTAGATATTTTAGGTGCAAGTCAGTTCATTGAGTATTATACGCCAAAAGTACATGATGAAGGAATGGAACTAGTGGGCCTAAAATTAGTGATAAAAATGCTAGGCCTAATATTTTTATAAAAAGGCACTATATCACAGATTTAACATCCTTGGTTTGAAACATGTAATGAACTGAGAGGAATGTGAAAAATGCATTTCTGCGTTATTCTATCACTAATATAATATTGTGCTTACTGAATAGCTCATTTCGTTTAATTTTCTTAAAGTTTCTTTTTGTTGTTGTTGTTTACAACAGACAATGCCGTATAACGTAACAATTCATAACTCGGTATTTAAATCATGGTGGATAAAACTCCTATAAACATTTGACATTTCTTAAGTGTATAATACTCAGATGGATATAAACAATTCTACTTCTGCTAAATAAAATGCAAAAAAGTGTTGGTACGAGTTTTAACTGCCTAGCAGGTCACAGCAGCTGATAATGTTTCACCTGGATAATCTCTTCAGTTCAAGCTTTTACACAGTACTGGCCTAACATAAACCCTTCAATTCTTGTTTTTACACAGTACTGGCCTAACATAAGCTCTTCAATTCAAGCTTTTACATAGTACTGGCCTAACATAAGCTCTTCAATTCAAGCTTTTACATAGTACTGCCTAACATAAGCTCTTCAATTCAAGTTTTACATAGTACTGGCCTAACATAAGCTCTTCAGTTCAAGATTTTACACAGTACTGGCCTAACATAAGCTCTTCAGTTCAAGCTTTTACACAGTACTGGCCTAACATAAGCTCTTCAGTTCAAGGTTTTACATATTGCTGACCTAACATAAGCTCTTCAGTTCAAGCTTTTACATAGTACCAGCCCAAGTAACGAAAATGAAACTAAATTGCTCGAATATTCTTTGATCTGTCTCATGTTGCTAAGTTCATTCAATTTCTGGAAGACTGCACCCTCATGAGAAGCTTTAATGAGGAGCCGTGTACCTCTCATAAGAAGTTATCTGCCTCTCATGAAAAGCTGTGTACCCATACTAAGCAGCCATGATAGAGACAAGTATCTACCAAGTACAACAAAAAGACATTTATTGTTAATATAAGTACGTGACAAGTGTTCTACTACGTTAAACTTTACCTGCAAGAAAGAACTACACTTCGTGTTACCTTTTATTTTTTTTCGGAATAAAACTGTGGTCACTCCATTGTCCTCAGCTCCTACTGCAGCAGTCAAACTATCTGTTCCACCATAGTAAGAATCAACACGAGGTGTCGATCTGTCGCGGGTGTAATAGTCAAAGATACGACTAGCCTTTCCTCGAACAACCCCCATTACAATATCTGTACAATCCATGGCGTGAAATTCATGACGAGGGGTGTAGGAAGACGTTTGTGGATACGTACTAGATTTCTCTGATGGACTTGGTTTGCTCTTCGATGGTTCTGCAGAAACGTTCGGTTCCACAGATGCTTCCGGTTCAGTAAGTTGTTGAGCCCCACGTTTGAAACGGCCCCCAGAATAAAAATTGCGTCTGTCTGGGGCTTTCTGAGGACTGTCCACTAGTGTGATGCCAATTAAATTACCATTTTCATCAATAATGTGTTTGTAGTTTTGTTGCTCGGAATCTCCGGATGCTGGGAAACCAAAGCCGTGGTCATTCAACGAAGCTTGTGATGGTGGAAAGTAATAGGGTGGACCACCAAAAGGCGCTGAAGGTAAAGGGCCTGGAGTGGTGTTTGCTCTTGGCCCCTTGTTGATGTTTGAAGATGTGGCTTGTTTAGAAGTGTCCTGATTATTGTTTTCTCGGGTCTTGTGTGTGTCATGGGTGTTGTGATTTTGTGCATCTTCTTCAGGAACCTGTTCGGAAGTTGGTTCAGCAACAGGCTCCTCTATACGTTTTTCTCCATTTATAAGGTTCGTTTTCTTGCCTGTTTCTGACTCGAGTGATGATGTACCGCGACGATCTCTGATCAGAGGAAACGCCTTACAGCTAGATTCAATACCTTGAGGTCTCCATCCAAGAGCTACAAAACTTGTACCACTAACTTTGAGAACAGCTTCAATCTCTCCAGTTTCCTTAATAGCGAAATTAAAACAAATTCAGTGGAAAACAACAACAAAAAACAGCTATTATACTTGACGATCTAAAGAGTATATATGACACTAAGATACAATGAACGATAACTCCAATAACCCATGATATACATACTAATACAATGAACGATAACTTCAATTACTCATGATATACATATTGATATAATGAACGATAACTCCAATAACTCATCCCATATCTATGAACTAAAACCCTACCTGAAGAATAAGGATGTGGAAAAAATCTTATTAAAACATTTGGAGCAAGCACTCTTTGTACTCATCTGTGGCATACTAGGCCTACGAAAGCCCTAAGGCAAGAATTTGTCTCTCCCCTCCCACTTACAGCCCAACAGGGCCAGCGCTAAGGGATGCTGCTGTGAACCGTGCAACCCCAAATTTCACTCTGGCCAACCCAACTAAAGTTCATTTTCCCTATCGGTTTAAAAAATCAAATCACCAATTTAAAAACAATCATACGATTTTTTTATATCGTTAAGAAGAGTCAACAAAAGTTCCACTTCCCCTTCCCCAATGGAGAGGAACTGGAGCCAACCCTATTATTGTTGCGCAAGTAGAAAAAAATATACACTAAATTACAAAGTAAATTAAAACCATGTTTCAGATTGCTTTGTATAATAGTATAGCATATTTGTAAGGTATGGGAGCCTATAGTTGTTGACTGGAAGTTTGTTGCTCCACAGGTTGACCTTTCACGATCAATAACTGTGTATCATGAGTACCCCTGGGGACCTAAAGTATTAATTTTATATATTTCATAAGTGAACCTTTGGAGCCTTTCACGAGTTTGATCACGTGGCTGACTACTCCATCTATACGTATGCCACTGGTGTCTGTATGTTTGTCATCTACTATTCAGTTTAATCAGCGATATTGAATTACGATGACATCAGATTCGGGGTCACTTTTCCTTTTCTATAGTTTTTAGCGGGAAGAGATGGTTTACTTCGTGACTGCGCACGTTCTTTTGACTATATTCGTTAGCAGAGTTTCTGTTTTCACTTCAGCGGTAATCTTATGGCGAGACGTAACACTAAGTACATTAACAGAGTGATGATATAAGACAAAAACAACTTTCCTTTGTATTCTGTGACAAGAAGATTTTGCTTCAGAATGGGCATTCGCTGTAGTTCTAGTGGTAGCGGATACTGTGGATGGTTTGCTTATGTTCTAATAACTACCGAAATACATATATTTTTCAAATTATTGTAGGCTTAAGTTCTCTTTCCTAAAACTTAAATGACCGTTAGGTGTAATGTGTGTGAATTTTTAATAAAAGTAAATTGTAAATACGAACGGTCCTGTTTTCGTTATTCCTTTTATAGTTCGACCTAAATAAATACATTATACTGATGCGCCACCACACATCGTTTCACCGAAACAATGCTTATTAATTACTCCTGACGACAGCTACTACTCTGCAAATGTTACATTCTTGGTAAAAAACCCGCGGGTATAAGTTCATCATGTTTAGAAATCTGTGGCCGCATGTTGCCTGAACATTATAGCTTATCGAAAAATGAAACTACGAACAAAATAATTGGTCTGTTTTGTTTTTGACTTTTTAGAATATTTATGAACCTGTAGTGAAAAGTTACTATTCATTTCAATACAGCCCAGTTAACATACTGTTTTCTTTTAGCGCAAAGTTACACAATGAGCTATATACGCATAGTATGTCCATAAACTTACTCCCACCCGGAGGAGTACAATTTAACACGCTCGTGGTACACAAAATTCTCCATTCCCAGTTCCTAAAGCTACTCCTAAATAGTTGCATGGGCTTTATATTTTTACACTATATCTTTGGTTATGTTTTGACAAAAAGGATGACTCTAATATGTAATATAAAGCCACAGCAGTGTCCGAAATTAATATTCATTTATTAATTCAAGTCATACTTATCGTTTAAATGAAAATGGACGAATAGATGTGATGTGTATGTTTCATTTTCCTTGCTATGAGTTATGACTGGGGTTACCAAACATCATCCAAGTGAAACTAGGATTGTATGAGTTATGACTAGGGTTACCAAACATCATCCAAGTGAAACTAGGATTGTATGAGTTATGACTAGGGTTACCAAACATCATCCAAGTGAAACTAGGATTGTATGAGTTATGACTAGGGTTACCAAACATCATCCAAGTGAAACTAGGATTGTATGAGTTATGACTAGGGTTACCAAACATCATCCAAGTGAAACTAGGATTGTATGAGTTATGACTAGGGTTACCAAACATCATCCAAGTGAAACTAGGATTGTATGAGTTATGACTAGGGTTAGCAAACATCATCCAAGTGAAACTAGGGTTGTTCCAGTTTTAGTCATCCCCCCTTTTGTCCCAATCAGAAACAATAAAAGTATTATACTACCCCGGTTTCTTCGTATCTTAATGCGAGTTTGATATGTACGATTTGTCATATACATGACTCCTTTAAATTTAATTTGAAGAATCACCTGACAAAGATAAATCACACAGTAAAGTGTTATTTCTCTTTCTGCTACGTTTTCTTAACCTGTCATTGGGCAGCCGCCCGAACCGAGATTTGAAGACCTGCCCAGCCGTGAAAAAGAAATCGAACAAGCAATATTTTTTTTCTTTTGAGCGGGTTCAAAACAATTTAGACGCGTTTTTTTTTATCTTATTTGTTGTTGTTTTTTTAACTGTGCAAGCTTCTACCAAATTTTGTTTTTCTGTGATTTTAAAACGCGATGCAACAAATATCAGGTCATTTAACAAATGTAAAACGTGTGTTATTGTAAGTTAAACTGTTTCAGAGCTGTTACAGCGTCACTCCATTCAGTAGAAAAACAAAACGCCCTAGATTTTGACTAGAAATCTGGTAACCCTAGATATGACCTCCCCAAAACACACATACACATTAAAACCATGGTTACTCACGCATTATTAAACTGTAACAATTGTTAAATTAGGGTTTACCTCACGACATATAAGCAAGTGTTCTGAAACGTTATCTCACACTTTATCTTGTCAGGTTAACTCAATAGATCTGATAACTTCTTAAGGAACAGTTCTATCTTAGAAAGAAACAACAAATAGAACGAGTTTTTCGGAAAAAAATCTACATAATTAAATAAAAAAATAAGCATAAGATTCATTTAAATGTTTTTCAAAGCTTTAAATTTAATAAATATTCTACTTTTTTGGTTAAATAAATTACAAATCCTTCAAGCTAATATGGAATACCGGTTTTTAAAGTTGTTGTTTTTTCCCCCATTGGTATCTTTTTAAATAACTTAAGCAATTGGCTAGTTCCAAATCAGGCTAAGTTTTTTTAGTAATATTTAACTCGATAATTTTCATCATTGTTCCATGTTAAAGTAAAGATGAACAAAACATGACCTATTTTATGAGTGAGCTTCATGAAATAAAGAAAATATGCGAGTATGAAAATTAGATGCAAATATGGATCGTTAGCGATGTTAATAATTATTGTTTAAAATCAACTTGGTATAATGAGTGGTGGCGCTATGTGGCACGTCACGCCACGGAAGAAAGAACAATCACGTGAACTGTTTCAATGACTTCACAAAACATGACTGAATACCATAAACAGGTTGTTGAAGATGTGATAAAGCGAAGATTATATGTGTTCACATATCGAGTTAGGATAAAATAATAAAACAATTGCTAAAATGAATTTTATAATAAAGCCAATGAGCCTTACGTTTGAAACAAGCGGCTTGTTCAGGAATTTGATTCATGGACGTGATGACGTTTAAAAGTGTAACAGCCATTAAAAGGCCTCATACCGTAAAACAAATTATGTAGTCGTAATAATCTTCTATTTAAGAGTGGAGTTTTTCAAACAACCAAAAGAAAAAAGGTTTACTGAGCATTGTTAAAGAAAATATTTTCCCCAATATACTTCAACACATTGTATTGAATTTAATTAAGATACAACACCGTTTCCCGCCTATTTTACAAATATGCTACATATAAAGGTGCACCATAAAGATAAAACAGTCCTTTAGTACAATGGTTGACCTCAAATCAGCTCACCTAAACAAATCAAATGTTACATTTTGGATCTCGTACCTCTGTCTATCATTAATGGGTTACACCAATGTCTTTTTCTTCTTATAGATATTAAAGAAGAAAAAAAAACAATAAAACAAAATACTCATTGATTAAAGAATTGAACGGCATGCTTCCTTTTACTTAGAACATACCAATAACATACTGCTGCTTGCAAAATGCTATAAAATTCATTTTAATTCCGTATACAATTTTTTTATAGCGGATGTGAACTGGCCGTCGAGAGTATGATTTTCTGGTACGACAGTTCCTGCGTGTGAGAATATTTTGGAGCTCTGACAGAGAACAAAATGTTGAGGTGTATAAAACAGAGAAAAAAATTCATTTGCATCGTAAATTTGAACGAATATAGCACTAAGAAATATGTTTTCATATAATTCTAAAAAATAGATATTAAGAAGCTAGAAAGGCGGATAAAAATATAATTTAAAATAACTGTGGCTCGTAAAACTAGTGAAAATAAAAATATCATGTTCAGTTTAAAATCAGTCGAATACACCTTGTTGACCCTCTGTTGCACATTGGAACATACAGGCAACTAATCTATCTTTGTAGGTTAACACAGTGGTTCCAAAATTATTTTAGTCTGAGTTAATAAAAAAGTTTGAGGCCCCCAACCTATAACTTTAGTATGGTGATTGAAAAACAGTGCCGTAGTAAAAACAATAACATCTCCTTTCGACTGTATGATTTAATCAGTTAAACATAAATTTTTATCGGCTTATTGTTTATTTAGAATCAAAATTAATTCAGCATCTTTGTTTGGTGGCCCCCCAGAAAAAAGCTTCAAGGCCCTCAGGGAGCCGCGGCTCCCACTTTGGGAAACACTTATGGAATATTTTTTGTTTGTTCTTAAATTGAACAATGTTACTTCTAAGTAACGAAACCCATTTATAACTTACCCAAATATATATATATATATATATATAAACATTTTCGTACAATGTAGACCTATTTAAGTTGGAAGTTCAAAGAACGTTTTTTTCCCACCGTGTTTTCGTAATGTGTGAAACAGAGGGTTAAGTTATGTAAGAATTTACTTATAACACGATAAAAAATGTTTTAAAAATACTGTCCATGACTTTGCTCAACAATACCACATTTAATCACAATGACAGAAGATTCGTTTCCTTTCTGGTGTTAAAAACTTGTATAAACAGAATCGTGTCTGAACTCGGAGCTTTAGCAAAATTGAACAAGATTTCGGCTTTACTAATCAAATTTACATACCAATATGTTTGTGATTTGTTCAGTAATAGTTTTACACAATAAAATTCCAAATCGACTATTAAATCATTAAATTAAAGATAGTAGTCTTGTTTAGAATTTTATTTTCAGTAATTTTCAAATAATAATAATGCCGGATCTACTGCTCTTTTATTATTATGCTTCTATTTTTAAGATTCACACGGGACTAGAATGACAATGTCCACCATTTTGTTTTGCATATTATATTTGTATGTTCACATCTAGAGATTTACGTGAGTTTTAGCAAAATTCTATGGCTTTTGATTTTATAATATTTATACTTTTGCAACATCCTGTGGCTTTAATTTTATAGTATTTGTACCTAGGCATTACAGGCGCGTTTTAAAACACTATGTCACACAAGCTTCTGGTAAAAAGCTTAATCCTTAAGGAAAGATTCAGTCACTCTACTGTTTCATTAGAAACAATCATCATTCGGTGGATTTATTTAGTCATTATGGCCTTTCAATATGTATGTCACTAAATATATTTACATGGCCAGGAAATATAGGGGCGAAAATTGTCAGAAAAAGATTAGTTTTCACTTCTTGTAACGATAACCATAATTTACCTGAATGATTCTCCAGTATAGGGTATAATCATCTGACAATTCTCTTTTAGAATATTTGCTCAAATCCACCATAACGGATTTCACAGGAGATTCTGCAAATAAAAGGTAACAGAAAATAAATAAAAAAAAATGTAGCCCTAGAATTAGTTGTGTGTCAACAGAATGTTACCTACTTTAAAACTCTGCCAGTCCAAGTAATTAAGCTGAGAAGCTTTACGTCACTAACGAGAGATATGAAAAGTAAAAAAAATCAATTAACCATCTTGAAATCGTCATCTACGCTCCGATTGTCAATCAACCTGTTATATACCATGAGGACGAGGATACCAGTGAAAATTCTAAGAGGGTTAGTTATTCCTGGTGCCAGTGTTTTCTGAACTTGAAATAGTAGCGCCCTCCTACTTCAGCGAAGTTTTCGTTGCGACCCCTCTTCATATTAAAATACTTTTCGCAAGTGATAACAGCAAAATCAACATTTTCTTGACCTGTTTTTAATAAATTTTTAAATAAAAAAAAGTGCTTATACGGAATGAGTAAATGCAAGAGCAAAAAAAAAAAGATAAATAGATAAATGAAGTCCTGAGAGCAAAGTGATAGTTTCGTTTGGTTATTGTTGTCCCTAACTCTTCTGTTTTTTTTCCGTTATTTTTGGGCTCTCCCACCAAAAGCCCACAGTCACCAGTAAAACAGCTTTAAGCAGTTGGTTGGTTGTCTTGTTATTATCTAAGGATGTAAAGAATGGATGAATGATGCTTTTACATGGTGAAGATTAATCAGGACTTGATAACATTTGTTATATTAGACGTGACGACAAATGTCCCATTTCATATATTATTGTAATTATTATTTCAATAAGGAGGCTTGGAAGTGTAAATTATTGAATTAAATACATTGTTCACGGTCCGGTGTGGCTTAGTGCTTACAGTGCCGGACTTCGAACAGAAGGTCTGCGGTTTGAACCGCATTTTCAGCTGCGAGCGTGTTATAAATGAGACAGTCAACTACTTTATTCGATTAAGAGTGGCTGCGTAAGCGGTGGGTGTTGCTGACTGGTTCCCTTCCCTCTGGTTAGTAGCTGTAAGTTAGGGGTGGTTATGCTTAATCTCGGGGTCTCTGACTTGGTCGTTTAATCTTCAAGTCGCATAAAATTGTTGTTCAGATGAAAGAAAAAAAAACAATTAATTTACTATTTTATTTTTAAAAATGGTTTTAGTCCCAGACTATTCACAAACTAAAATATAAACTACAAAAAGCAACCACGAAAAAATTACCTTTGTTGCACTTTTCTCCAAACCATCCTTCTTTACAGAAGCACTGCATCTTGGGAAATGTTGTACTGTCTACATTGATGCAATTGCCATTAGGCCCACAATCCTCATCTGACCAGCACTCATCTGCATTTCAAATAATGTTCATCTTTTTCAGCTTTTACAATTATATTAAAAATGTTTCTATGTAACAAGAAGTGTTTAAAAATACGATGAAGATTTTCCCCACAGGCAAAGTATTCAACAGTTATATCATAGAGGGGATACGCTCCCCCAATAATTAAATTTGGTGCCCAAATATTATTGCACCACCAAGTATTTTGCTGAAAATTTTTCCCACAGGCAAAGTATTGAAGATTCACATCGTAGAAGCCGGGCCAGGAGAAAGGGGCACGTTCCTTCAATAATTAAATTGGGTGCCCGAATACCATTGGGCCTCCGGTATTTGGCTGACAATTTTTTATTTAGTCGGCTGACTTTGTCAGTTGAAATGAAAGAATACTATAGTTCTTATGCAAATTCTAAACATTACGATGTTACTATCGTTTCGTGTATCTTTATAATGTGTATACTGGTTACACAAAAAGTTATTTTGGTTTTAATTACGGATTTTTCATAATTCAGCTCCTTTTATCTCGAAAATAATATTCATTTTTTTTCTATCGCGTAAGGATTTTTTACACATCGGAATGGAAAAAATTCTTTCTTAGATCAAATTATTATTTCGTTTACCACGATGAACATTTTTTTTTATTATGTTTGTTAACAAAAATACAAACAAACTAAAGAAACTGGAAGAACATTGATGTCAAGCGAATATACATTCTCATTCATCCTGATTTTTTTTCTTTTTTTGTAAAATCTATGTCCATTAGTCTCAAAACTACGTGTTGTGGTCTTTCTTTTATGTATTGCGTTATGAAGTTTTGTGAAAAAATGTGTAAGTGATGGAGAAAAATGGATATCATTTTCGGATTCAGCATACAAAAATTACTGTTGGACAATTTCAAGACAATAAAACCATCGCAGACCTGTGTTATTATCGGAAACATTCTTATTATTTGTTTGACTTTCGATCTTGTAGTACACAGAAAACAATTTATATTCATTAACACTGCTCCCCCTCCCCCCAATGTTTTGTATATTACGATGTGCCTGTACACTAAATGCTATCTACGCGATTTAAATATGTGATAACGATTCTAAGCCTTTTCTTGTAACTCCAGCCAATTGGTCAATGTTGTTACTATAACAATACTCAATAGCAAGTAAAATACTTTGTAATAAATTCAGTTAACTAAACATTTTTTTGTATATTCTTGTAACTAATTATTTTATGTGGCTATAATGTAACTATTTTATGCTCTTTTCGAACCATTTACCTAATTAGAATTTATTCTTTACTCTGTTTATTCAACTTATTCTAAGTATTATTTTACTTAACATGACAAGAATTGTGTCTCCGTTTACTTAAAGGTCGACACTTACCCTTGTACTGACACACATTTCCAGAGAATAGCCGGTTACAAACGCAACGTTCTTCTTCTAGTTTTCCGTGATTAGAACATATTGTGCGGAACTCGGATACTGTCGAATAAAACCAATATTAATTCTGTGCAAAAGGAATAATGGAATAACAGGAATTAGCTTTTTAATGATAAAACTCTGTTAATATTCTAAACCTGACCTAATTTTATAAAAGTCCATTATTTTTATATTCTAACACATACAGCACAGTACATCATATTGAGTAATGTGACTAATTAAGATAATACTGGACACTGTGACTACTCTAGATAACACTGTACAATGTGACTAATCTAGATGATATTGGACAATGTGACTAATCTAGATAACACTGTACAATGTGACTAATCTAGATGACATTGGACAATGTGACTACTCTAGATAGCATTAGACAATGTGACTACTTTAGATAACACTGTACAATGTGACTAATCTAGATGACACCAGTGTTATCTAGAGTAGTCACATTGTCCAATGTTATCTAGATTAGTCACATTGTCCAATATCATCTAGATTAGTCACATTGTCCAGTGTTATCTAGAGTAATCACATTGTCCAAACAATGTGACTAATCTAGATGACATTGGACAATGTGACTACTCTAGATAACACTGGACAATGTGACTAATCTAGATGACATTGGAAAATGTGAATAGTCTAGATGACATTGGAAAATGTCATTATCTAGCTAACATTGGAAAATGTGACTAATCTAGAAAACATTAGACAATTTGACTAATCTAGATGACATTAGAAAATGTGACTACTCTAAATAACATTGGACACTGTGAATAATCTAGATAACATTGAACAACGTGACTAATCTAGATAACATTGGACAATGTGACTAAACTAGATAACATTGGACAATGTGACTAATATAGATGACATTGGAAATGTGACTAATCTAAATAACATTGGAAAATGTGACTAATCTAGATAATATTGGAAAATGTGACTAATCTAGATAACATTGGACAATGTAGCTAACCTAGATAACACTGAACAACGTAAGTAAACTAGGTGACAAGGGACGACCAAAGAAATCGAGATGATATTCAACAACGTAACTAACCTAGATGACATTGGACAATGTGACGAATCTAGATGACATTGGACAATGTGACTAAACTAGATAACATTGGACAATGTGACTAATCTAGATGACATTGGAAATGTGACTAATCTAGATAACATTGGACAACGTGACTAATCTAGGTGATATTGGAAAAAATGTTATCTGGATTAGTCACATTGTCCTATATCATAGATTAGTCACATTTCCAAGGAAAATGTGACTAATCTAGATAACATTGGAAAATGTGAATAATCTAGGTAACATTGGAAAATGTGACTAATCTATGACATAGGACAATGTGACTAATCTAGATGACATTGGATAATGTGACTAATCTAGATGACATTGAAAAATGTGACTTCTCTAAATAACATTTGACAACGTGACTAATCTAGATGACATTGGACAACTTGACTAATCTAAATGACATTGGACGATGTGACTAATCTAGATAACATTGGAAAATGTGAATAATCTAGGTAACATTGGAAAACGTGACTAATCTATGACATAGGACAATGTGACTAATCTAGATGACATTGGGCAATGTGACTAAACTAGATAACATTGGACAATGTGACTAATCTAGATGACATTGGAAATGTGACTAAACTAGATAACATTGGAAAATGTAGCTAACCTAGATAACACTGAACAACGTAACTAATCTAGATGACATTGGACACTGTGACTAATCTAGATGACATTGGAAATGTGACTAATCTAGATAACATTGTAAAATGTGACTAATCTAGATAACATTGGACAATGTAGCTAATCTAGATAACACTGAACAACGTAACTAAACTAGATGACAATGCAAGACCAAAGAAATCGAGATGATATTAAACAAGTAACTAACCTAGATGACATTGGACAATGTGACTAATCTAGATGACATTGGAAAATGTGACTAATCTAGATAACATTGGACAATGTGACTAATCTAGATGACATTGGAAATGTGACTAATCTAGATTACATTAGAAAATGTGACTAATCTAGGTAACATTGAAAAATGTGACTAATCTATGACATAGGACAATGTGACTAATCTAGATAACATTGGTCAATGTGACTAATCTAAATAACATTGGAAAATGTAACATTGGGTGACTAATCTAGGTAACATTGGACAATGTAGCTAACTTAGATAACACTGAACGACGTAACTAAACTTGATGACAATGGACGACTAAAGAAATCGAGATGACATTGAACAACGTAACTAACCTAGATAACATTGAACAACATAAGTAACCAAGATAACATTGAACAACATAAGTAACCAAGATAACATTGAACAACATAAGTAACCAAGATAACATTGAACAACATAAGTAACCAAGATAACTCTGAACAAGTAACTTACCTAAATAACATTGAACAACGTAACTAACCTAGGTAACATTGGACAACGTAACTAACCGAGATAACTCTGAACAACGTAACTAACCTAGATAACATTGAACAAGGTAAGTAACCTGGATAACATTGAACAATATAACTAATATAGATGACATTGGAAAATGTGACTAATCTAGATGACATTGGAAAATGTGACTAATCTAGATAACATTGGACAATGTGACTAATCTAGATGACATTGGAAACGTGACTAATCTAGATAACATTGGAAAATGTGACTAATCTATGACATAGGACAATGTGACTAATCTAGATGACATTGGACAATGTGACTAATCTAGATGACATTGGAAATGTGACTAATCTAGATAACATTGGAAAATGGGACTAAACTAGATAACATTGGGCAATGTGACTAATGTATATGACATTGGAAATGTGACTAATGTATATGACATTGGAAATGCGACTAATCTAGATAACATTGGAAAATGTGACTAATCTATGACATAGGACAATGTGACTAATGTATATGACATTCGAAATGTGACTAATGTATATGACATTGAACTACGTAACTAATCTAGATAACACTGAGCAATGTAGCTAACCTAGATAACATTGAACTACGTAACTAATCTAGATAACACTGAGCAATGTAGCTAACCTAGATAACACTGAGCAATGTAGCTAACCTAGATAACACTGAGCAATGTAGCTAACCTAGATAACATTGAAAAATGTTACTAATCTAGATAACATTATACAATGTGACTAATCTAGATAACATTGGACATTGTAACTAATCTAGATGACATTGGACAATTTAGCTAACATAGATAACACTGAACAACGTAACTAAACTAGATGACAATGGACGACCAAAGTAATCGAGATAACATTGAACAACGTAACTAACATAGGTAACACTGGACAACGTAACTAATCTATGTTACACTGGACAACGTAAGTAACCTAGATAACATTGAAAAACGTGACTCATCTAGATGACATTGGACAATGTGACTAATCTAGATAACATTGAAAAACGTGATTAATCTAGATGACATTGGACAATGTAGCTAACGTAGATAACATTGAACTACGTAACTAATCTAGATAACACTGAGCAATGTAGATAACATTGAACTACGTAACTAATCTAGATAACACTGAACAATGTAGCTAACCTAGATAACATTGGACAATGTGACTAATCTAGATAACATTGGACAATGTGACTAATCTAGATGACATTGGACAATGTAGCTAACCTAGATAACATTGAACTACGTAACTAATCTAGATAACACTGAACAATGTAGCTAACCTAGATAACATTGAACTACGTAACTAATGTAGATAACACTGAGCAATGTAGCTAACCTAAATAACATTGAACTACGTAACTAATGTAGATAACACTGAGCAATGTAGCTAACCTAGATAACACTGAACAACGTATGTAACCTAGATTTTACCGAAGTTGTTTGTTTGTTTCAGCGCAATCCTATATAGTGGGCTATCCGCCCTCTGTTAACTACGTGGAATCAAACACCAGATTAAGACTTACCGCTGACCCTTTGTTAGTCTACAGTAAAACTATCTAGGTGGTATGATAATGATTCCTGAAAACAAGACTTTTAACATGGAACACTATCCGCTCTACTCAATCTGAACATTACGTTCACTGTTTAGCCTAACAAGACTTTTAACGTGGAACACTATCCGCTCTACTCAATCTGAACATTACGTTCACTGTTTAGCCTAACAAGACTTTTAACGTGGAACACTATCCGCTCTACTCAATCTGAACATTACGTTCACTGTTTAGCCTAACAAGACTTTTAACGTGGAACACTATCTGCTCTTTTCATTCTGAACTTTACGTCCACTGAGTAAATTAAGTCAAATTTGTCATCATATGTATTTCGATTTTCAACTCTCTTAGTTTTTGTTTTAAACTGTGCCATAATGACCAGAGTTGGCCGGAGGCTTTATATTAGTGTCCAGCTCAGCGGATTAGATAACTTAACAGTACTGTAGACTGTTTCATTTCCATTGATTTATTTGTTTCATTTGTGCTAAATTATACATGAATAAATTTATTTGTTTGTTTGTAAGTAAGCACAAAGCTACACAATGGGCTATCTGTGCTCTGCTCACCACGGGTATCGAAACCCAGATTCTAGCGCTGATCCAAAGTTAAATATTATAAAATACTAATAAGATATTTAGCCCAGCATGGCCAGGTGGTTAGAGCGATCGACTCGCGGGTTCGTATTCTCTTCCCACCTTTCAACCGTAGGGGCGCTATTATGTGACAATCAATCTCACTATTCGTTAGTAAAAGAGTAGCCCAAGAGTTGGCGGTGGGTGGTAGTGACTATCTGCCTTCCCTCTAGTCTTTCACTGCTCGTAAATTAGAGACGGCTAGTGCAGATAGCTCTCGTGTAGCTTTACGCGAGATTCATAACAAACAAACCAAACAATAACATGTTTTTTTAAATATTAGTGGAATAAAAACTTGATAGTCAAGATTTGAGTTAATTTAAAAGATATATAAAAATGTATTAGGTATCATACACGTATAGAGATTTAATAATTGTTGAAAACATGGCGATAATGAATTAAATTTTTGAAAATGCATGAGAATGGATTAGGAACAATACATGTATTATGCGTTATGAATTCTTGAAAAATATGACTATGGCTGATTACAAGTATAATTAAGACAAATGTAATTGATTTTAATCATGTTATGATGTGAACGCCTTTTACAAGCTGGCGAAGCGCGATTATAATTATACTTGTCATAAGACATTACTATTTGTCCTATAATATTTTTAAACACTACATTCTTTATCTAGTCCCTTAGGGATTTTCAAGAATTAGAAGATTGTATGGTAATAGTATTCCGACCACACCTAGTTCCCTATATCCATTGCCGACGACGCGATTTGCTGAATCCAGAACTCTTCAGGCTGGCTGGGATACAACAATCACAGTAGTGATCGAAACACTATTCATATAAGCCATTTGTTGCAAAAACAACTGTTATGGTGTAAGGGCTTTTTACAAGCTGGCGAAGCATGAGTATAATTACATTTGTCATTAATATCAGGCCTTATATTAGTTGTTGTAGTAGGGATTTGGGATTGAAGAAACAGGAAGCTCGGAAATCATATAATTTTCCTTTGTGTTACCCGTGGTGTAAAAGGAATACTGAGTGTTTCGCGGAATATATAAATATCTGTAGATCAAAAGATCCAAAACTGAAGAATTTTGGTGTGAATTGATAGATCAAGTGCCCAAGAAGTTGTTGTGTGGGGTAAAGTAGGAAAAATACCTGAAAAGCCCAATTTCACTATCCGGGCGCCGAAATTTCAAAGTTGTTAACTGGACAGTGTTTGCTTTGTTGATTTTTTTTTGTTTACATTTGTTTCTCCGAGTGAGAAGATGTATCTGGAAGCGCTTTATATTACACCATAACTCATTCTGTAAAGTTTGGTGAAAGAGGTTGTTCAGAAATTGCTGATGTTAAAGCCGAGATATCGGTTGAGTGGAGTTTTGTGTAACCTGACGTAAATGGATTCTTTAATTTTTTTTCTTGGTTTCCTAACGGTAAGCCTTGTCGAGAACTTGGTGTTAGTCCTAGTTTATGATATGACCTATTTGTAATTATGTATGTCACCTTATATCGCTTTAAAACAATGTAATATTTCACACTTTTATGAGTGTGAAGTACTGACGCAGGAGTTCCACCAAAAATAAGTCAATTTACACACTTTATCAGTAAACAAAAGTGATTCCTTACGCACAATAAAATTATTAAATAATAATACAGTTAAAAAGCCACACTTTATACAAGTGTAAGCTTAGTTGTAAATGTATACATTTTGAAGAGTCATTGTCTTATAAAAAATATATTCATAACGTTTTATAGTTATGATAAAATTATCTTAATGCAAGTGAGTTTGTTAACAGTTCTTTTTATTATTTTCAAATAATACTTACACGACTTTCTATTCTGCTTATAAGTTCATTCTTTTGAATACATAAAAGGTGTATGAACTTTTATTTACACCAAATGTACACTTTTAAGGGTATGAATTCTCACCTTTGCAACAATACACTTGGAATACACTTTTTTCTCTCAGTTTGATAGATTTTTCCACCCTTCTCAGGTGTTCCGAACTCAGTAATATATCACAATCGAAACTGGTCGTAAGCTGTTATCACGCGCACTTGTGTGTTAATAAGTATGAAGGCCTTACGTGCAACATTGAGGTCCGCACTGCGTCAGAAGTAAATGGTTGCATAATCAGGCCCAGCATGGCCAGGTGGTTAGTGCGCTTGACTCGCAATCTGAGGGTCGCGGGTTCGAATCCCCGTCCCACCAAACATGCTCGCCCTTTCAGCCGTGAAAGCGTTATTCTGTGACGGTCAATCCAACTATTCGTTCGTAAAAAGAGTAGCCCGAAAGTTGGCGGTGGGTTGTGATGACTAGCTGCCTTCCCTCTACTCTTACATTCTAAATTAGGGACGGCTAGCGTACATAGCGTAAATGCGCGAAAGTTGCATTATTATGGCCCACCCTCTTTTTTAGCGAAACAAATGTTACTAACAATGATAGAACATTTCAAGGTAATAACGTACCAGATTAGAACTACTTACCTGGAACCACAGATACGTCGGCACAACTCCAAAACAAGTATCGGCTGCCCAATTCTTTAGCCTGACGTAACAGACGAATTGTACAGTCGTTACAAGTGAGTTTCTTGGGAAGGTTGATTGTGTACATCTGTGCCCTACAAGTAGAGAGAACACATATATAAAACCGACAGTCATATGTTGCACAAATATCTATATATCTCACGACACACTACTAGGTATTTACAGTAAACACGTTGTGTAATATGTACCAATACAAGAGTTTGTAATATCCTCATATTCCAATGGAATTCGCTGTAGCATGTAGCAAGAGTTTGTAATGCCCTCGTGTTCCAATGAAGCTCTGTAGTATATACCAATACAAGAGTTTGTAATATCCTCATATTCCAATGGAATTCGCTGTAGTATCTATTAATATAAGAGTTTGTAATGCCCTCGTGTTCCAATGGAATTCGCTGTAGCATGTAGCAAGAGTTTGTAATGCCCTCGTGTTCCAATGGAACTCTGTAGTATATAATTAACATGAAAAGTCTACAATACTTTGATATCCCAACAAAGTTATGTATTATCTGTTAACATTTTAGCAGCTATATACTTGAAAGAAATGTTTTAATTTTAACCGAAATTCGCGACTAAACTAATGATAAATATGGAGTACGAACATCCGAAACATTTTCGAATTTATTACAAATATTCCATAACGATAGTTGTGAATTAAGATTTCTATTCTTTGAAGACGAAATGTCAATAATGTTGTTTCGCTGAGGATTTAATGGACCTTCTCTGTGTTATTTTTGTTCAATATTTTGTTAGCTAAAAGTCGATTACTTTTGTCCATGCTACTACCTGTTTTTCAGCATAGAAAACGATTATATATCACCATGGAAACATGAGAAGACGATCCTGTGCTTCCTGTTACTTGTAATTACAAAATCAAAACGGTGTTTCAAGTGTAATAAATTCAGTTTATGTGGACTGTTTCTTCTTCTTCTTCAAAAGCAAAGGTTGCTTTTATCTCAGGGTTGCTTGAAGATGGTGTTGGTGTTAAACTAATGTTCTTGAAGATAGTGTTGGTGTTAATAAAACTAATGTTCTTAAAGATAGTGCTAGTGTTAATAATACTAATGTTCTAGTAGATGGTGTTGGAATTTAATAAAACTAATCCATTGTTCCCTTTGCTGAAACATTTGGTAAGCTTTGCCTCTTACTGCTGTTATTCAAATAAATGTTGTTGTTGTGAGCGTTGAAATATTTAGGTTTTATCCAAACGTACGCTGAATATGGCATTCGATGTTCATCAAAATAGGTTAATTCTGACAACTAGTTTAGAAGTTGTATCCAAATCAATTTCACTTTGTGCGATAGTTTTTGGAGCCTGAACAATACGACAATTAAACGTGAAAAATTAGTAATACCAGGTCTAATGATGAGAAACTTTATCACCATATTTCAAGGATTGTGACCTGGTTTAAGCGGCGAATTCAGGGTTAAACTCGACTAAGAATTTTCTATACACATTTAAATTTTACAATCTTCCTAAATATATTTTTCACTAAAGAAACAAAGGTTCTCGACATTTCTAAGGCTACTAAGGTCCGTGTCTCTATACGTTGTTCGAACTCCGGATTTTAACGTTGTAAGTCTCTAAATTCACCCCTGACCCACCAGATATCTCTCTAGTAAGTTATGCACTGCCTCTATACTCAATAAACACTGTACGTTACCCTATAACGCCAGGAAGAATTCCCAGTAGTTGTTCTTGTAATTTAATCCAAAATATCTCGACAATCAAACAATAATTAGTATTTTATTTCTATACTTGAATAACAATTTGCAATATTTTCATGCTCTAAAAAGAATAATACACAATAGCCCTGAAGCCAATGAACGATTTTTACTACTTAAAATCCAAGGATCAATCTTCAGTTTTTAAAGGCCCAGAATAATGGCGTCTTTAAAGTTCAAAGAACGATCTTTCGTCTTTAAATGTCAAGGAACAATCTCAAGTCTTTAGAAGCCTTTAGGTTTTGAAGGATATGAGACAATCTTCCGTCTTTAACCGTCAAAGAACAATCTCAAGTCTTTAGAGGGCTTTAGGTTTTAAAGAATAAAAGACAATCTTCCGTCTTTAAACGTCAAGGAACAATCTCAAGTCTTTAGAGGCCTTTAGGTTTTAAAGGATAACAGAAAATCTTCCGTCTTTAAACGTCAAGGAACAATCTCAAGTCTTTAGAGGCCTTTAGGTTTTAAAGGATAACAGAAAATCTTCCGTCTTTAAACGTCAAGGAACAATCTCAAATCTTTAGAGGCCTTTAGGTTTTAAAGGATAACAGAAAATCTTCCGTCTTTAAACGTCAAGGAACAATCTCAAGTCTTTAGAGGCCTTTAGGTTTTAAAGGATAACAGAAAATCTTCCGTCTTTAAACGTCAAGGAACAATCTCAAGTCTTTAGAGGCCTTTAGGTTTTAAAGAATAAGAAACAATCTTCCGTCTTTAAACGTCAAGGAACAATCGCAAGCATTTAGAGGCTTTTAATGTTTAAAGGATAAGAGACAATATTCCGTTTTTAAGCGTCAAGGAACAATCCCAAGTTTATAGAGGCCAATAAAAATAATTTAGTTTTCAAAGGATAAGAAAAAATCTTCCGTCTTTAAATGTCAAGGAAAAATCTCAAGTCTTTAGAGGCCTTTAGTTTTTCAAGGATAAGAGACTATCTTCCGTCTTTAAACGCCAAGGAACAATCGCAAGCATTTAGAGGCTTTAATGTTTAAAGGATAAGAGACAATATTCCGTCTTTAAGCGTTAAGGAACAATCTCAAGTTCTTAGAGGTCAATGAAAAACATTATGTTTTTAAAGGATAAGAGAAATTCTTCCGTCTTTAAACGTCAAGGAACAATCTCAAGTCTTTAGAGGCCTTTAGTTTTCAAAGGATAAGAGGTAATCTTCAGTTTGTAAAGGTCAAGGAACAATTTGTAAAGGTCTAGGAGAATCTCAAGTTTTCAAAGTTCAAGAAACAATCTTCAGTTTCTGGAGGCCAATGTACAACATTTAGATTTTAAAGTGTATATCCTCTAAAAGATGAATCTGCAGTGTTTACAAAAGAAGATTCCGAAATACGTTTATTTACAAATAACACACGCCTTGTGGCGATCTTAGAAACTCCAATGTGTTATATGGATTAATGGAACTATAAATTCCTAATGGAAGTTATACGGAAGCTGCGGACTGGAAACTCATTTGACTCAGCGATTGTTGGTAAATTCGAATTTGAGAGAATATAAAGAAACCAGGAATTTTAACTTAATGAGAAAAATATCAGTATCATTTTTTAAATTATAATAAATATTTAAAAACAACGTTTTATATTTACACAATAAAAACTTTATTGAGAAGTTTAACAAAAATGCAGATTCAAAAATACCACATTAAAATCTATTTATGAGAAAAACAAAAAAGAAACTCTAAGTTTACCTTATGTTCCAGGTTTAACAAGTCAATTATATAAAGTATTCAAAAAGTATCAGAATTTTTACTCTATCTTCAAACCAACAAATAAGATAAAAGATATGATAAGGAATGCTAAAGACAGAATATAATTAACAGATAAGACAGGTATATACAAGATAGAATGTGAATGTGGTAGTGTTTATATTGGTCAAATTATAAGACATTTAAAATATAGATTGCAAGAACACAAAAGTTACATAAGAAATAATAAAA